CTTTTAATAAATTTAGTATTGTTTCATAAAAACTTTTTAGTTGTTTGGGAAATAAGAAATTAGAGTTATAGATAAAAAAAGAACATTTGTTATGTGAGGAGAGAGAAACAAAGTTGATTTTTTGAGACTTTAGAATAAAACAGGAAAGGAAGAAGAAAAAAATAAAAAATGATTTTAGTGACTTAAAAAAAAATAAAAGCAATAAAAGTTTGATTAGTTAATTTTTAAATGTTAGGGTTGTATAATCCATTAAAGTATCTACCGCCTAAATGCCAATCAGCCCCAAATATACTAGCACAATGGGAGAATTATTTGCTAAGAAAAGCCTCGGAAATAAGCCCAGTTATAAAGAATCAGAGATCTATCTTAAAAAGGATCCTTTTTTCAGCGATCTTAGCCCATCTATAAATTGTTTAATCCTATAAACCAATGTAGAAAATATATAATTTTCTTCGTTTACCGTGTTAAAGCATTATTTGTTTAATCCTTTTATATTATTTTCATTGATTTGAATCCAAGAATGATAGTGAACAAAGAAGACCACATAAAAAGAACAAAGTTTAAAGCCGCAAAGAATCCTTTAGCCCTCTTTGTTGAAAAGCTACTTTGCTTTGCTTCAAACCTTTTTACACAACAAATTTAACAACGATACAAAGAAAATCTAGAAAAATAGCTCGAGGGCTTTAGAAGATTCAGACATCTTAGGAATAAAACATGAAGCCGAACCAGTTGCTAATAAGAATCTCTTCTTCTTCATTGCAGACTTCAACAAGTATTCTTCTTCCTCAGAATCTTCAATCTCTTCTTCTCTCTTCAAGAACTCTTTGAACCACATTGCAGACATTTTTGGAAAACGTTTTAGTCCATTGTTGTAATCGACGTAGAACAGGCCGTATCGGACTCCATAACCTGCGTTCCATTCGCAATTGTCAAGTAACGACCACGCAAAGTATCCTTCAACTTCAACCCCATCCTCCCTGAACAACAAAACATTCATACATCAGTAAGAAACTAAAAAGGGTTTCGGTACAGTTTCTTGTGTGTCAAGAAACTTAATGGAGTTTTTTCATTTAAGTAAATACGCTTACTTGATGGCTTGTTGAATGCTTTGGAGATGTTTCTTGTGGTATTCTGTTCTTTGGAGATCCATCAAATTAGAAAGTTTCGGTTTTTTCTCGTAATCTATATCACAATGTCCTGAACAATTTAAACCAACAAAAAAGAGAGTTAGTAAAACATATTTCTCAACCCATTTTAGTTATACTATTTTGAAAGAGCTTATAGTATAAAATTATTACCGTTTTCAGTGATTATGAATTTCGGGCTTTCGTATTTATTCTTGGCATAACTTAGAAATTTTCGAAGTCCTTGTGGGTATAGAAAGTCCCATTCTGAACCACCTCTTACACCCAATGTTTGTCCTGCTTTGTTTTGTTCTGTTCCAATAAAAATCAAGAAAAAATCAGCAACCAAAATCTCTAAAAAATTATAAGAAAATTATCAAGAATCTTGTGAGCCAAGAAATGCATATATCGATAGAAACCCTAAAATTCCACTTACTTCTCCATTCGACACGTGCATCTGATCTCCAATTGGGTGTGTTATGGTCAACTTCAGCAATACTTTTTACGTAGAAAGCACTGTAATAATTTACTCCCACGAAGTCAAAAGATCCTCTTAGCTTATTGGATTGTACTGCGGTAAATGAGGGTAATCTTTTTCCGATTGATTTTTTCATGACTTCAGGGTAGTCTCCGTACACCGTAGGATCCATATGCCTAAGAATTTGGAAAAAAAAATCATCCAAAAATATGATTAGAAAACTAGCTAACAAATAGTGTATATATATTAACTTAACCCAAAAAATAAACTACTCACCATCCGAACATGAATTCCATGGCTCGTTCGCATGCTTCTTTATCATCAGGGCAGTTTGAGTCATATGGCTCGAACCATACGGGACAATGGGCGATACCGATCTTGCCATCTTTACACTGTGATTGAAACAAAAACATCATCAATTTTTATCAAAAAAACAAAAAAACATTATCAATAAATATATTCTCAAAGACTTAACTAAAGTGCCTCAAAACGAAATTATATATTTTTACATACTTTGGGATTGTTCCTAAAGACTTCAACGGCTTCCGCGTGAGCCAAAAGTAGATTGTGGCTAACGGTATAAACCTCGAGGCCAGATTCTCCAGCCATGGCTGCTTCATTCATGTATTTTGAGGCACGTCCGGGCGCTTTCCTTCCCGTGTCATAACCACCAATACTATAGACCCATGGCTCGTTTAGTGTGACCCACAATTTCACACGGTCGCCAAACTCTTCGAAACATATGGCCGCGAAGTCTTTGAAGTCGTTACTGCAAGATTGTTTATTTTGTATGCATATGTTAGAGACATCGATCCGAAAAATAGAGTAAAAACTAATATATAGATTGTTAAAATCACTTACACAGCTTCTTCGCTTAGAAATCCGTTGTATTCATCTTCAAGGGCTTGAGGAGTATCCCAGTGAAATAAAGTGGCAAGAGGTGTGATTCCTGTTCATACACATAGACAATCATGTTAGAATATTTCAATCTAAGAGATTAATTAGGTTAATATTTAATTATATATATGTAAGATATATAAGAGAGATTAGTTAACTACCGTTAGCTAGGAGCTCATCAATGAGATCGTTGTAGAATTTGATTCCTTCTTTGTTTACTCCTTTGCTTTTCTTTCCAACTATTTTTTTTTTTGGAATATAAAAAATTACAATTAATGGTTAAATCTAATGAATTGTTTGAAAAACAAGAAAATAGTGATTTATATATAAGAACAAAGAACTTACGAGGCAAAATCCGAGGCCAAGAGATAGAGAATCTGAAAGCATCCATGTTAATATCTTTCATTCTCTGGATATCTTCCTTGTAGTGATTATAGAACTCGACTGATTGGTCCGCGTTAGAGTAGCAATTTCTCTCTGCAAAATTTTCATTTTATCATATTAATTAGTTTGATGAATATCATAAGTAACCATAGAAAATATCTCTTCGTATATATAAACCTATTTATTACCAAAAAAAAATGTAAATTTTTTACATATAAACCTGGATATTTGCGAACAAATGTGTCCCAGACACTCTCTCCACGAGGAGCTTCGTTGATGGCTCCTTCATATTGGTAAGCCGATGAGGCTGTCCCAAAGAGGAAACCCTCCGGAAAATCAGATCGACCAAAAGAGTTTTTCTTCAAGTAACTAATGTTCCTCTTTCTGTTAATTACCATAATTTAACAAAAAAATTAGAAAATGTTTTGTTGAAGGATAAACTTATTTTTGCATACTCTTGTGGTTGCAATGAAGTTTGATGACTTACTGCGTCATTGTTTATAATAGATTTATAATCTTTTTGTCTTTAATTTGGAAAATCTGCATAGACATATACACAAAAGATCATGAGTTAATGAATCATTAGATAAAAAAAAAAACATTGAAATAGCTTTGATATATAAGATGATAAATAATATACCGAGTAGAAGATCTTTTGTGTTTTTTGTTTTGTTTTTAACAAATGGAGCTGAGTTTTTCTTTCTACTACGAAAGAATGAAACGAATGGTTTGTGTTTGTTATTGCAAAATAAATAAAATGAATGAATCTAATTTTGCTTTTGGCTTAATGAAAAAATGTAGAGATTGTTGAGTTGTGGGAGAAGTGATGAGATATGTGAAGGTGTTTTATAGGCAGAGATTCGCAATTTTAAACGAAGGAACGTAGAAAATCCATGCATTATTTAGTCCAACTAGTTACATCTACGTATGACGTATCTTGGCCGTTCATTTCTTTCCCGTTTCTTTGGTCAAATAATCTGCTTGCAAACAATTAAAAATGTGAAATAAATGATAATGGTCACTTTGCGGCCTTGCGCCGTGTGATATTGAACCAATACTAGATTACTCCGATGTTGACTTCAACTAAAATATGAATAAATTTTCGAAAAAAAAAAAAACTAAAATATGAATAGAGACATAATAATAACATAATTAATTAATATTTAATACAATGCCGGGGAGATCCATTCGCTATAGAATGCCATAGTGGTCTTGTCTTTTGAGTGGTTGGTTTTAATTTCGATTTTTACATACCTAAATAGATAAGAGATAGTATGATTTTTTTTTCTTATTATATTAAGAATGTAACTAGTAACTACCAATGTAGTATGAAAATTGAGAAATTTCAAAAAATGCCACTTTTCAAGTGCCACTTTACAGAAATGCCACATTTTTGAAATCTTTACAAAAATACCAC